AGTGGCCATGTGCGAACGCTGCAGGGAGTCGGGCGGGGGGCGGGGGGCGGGCTCCAAGCGAGGTTCCTCTCCATAGCGGCCCGGGTCACGGTCGGGACCGAGTCGAAAGCCAGACGGGGTCAGGGTCCGGGAAGGATCTGGACCTAGGTCTTAATGCGCCGGTTTGGGACCGGGGCCGGCTCTGGCTTGGGCTGCAGATCCTGGCCAGGGTCGGTCTTGGGCCTCGGATCCAGTCCCAGGGCAGGGTTCAATCGGGCACCTGGAGCGTGCCTAAGTCCCAGGGGCGGGCTGGAGTGGAAGATGGGCAGGGTTCCCTGCCCTGGAAAGGGGCTTTGAAGACCACGTGGGGGCGCTCGAAGGGGCCTTGGGCCACCCTCCTCTCTGGGTCAAAGGTCATCACACTGGCAGGGGAGAACTTCCTCCTCCTTGGCGCTCCCCCATTACTTCCTGATAACCTGATAGAGGGCCCTCGCGGGTGGAGGGGGAGGGGCGGCGCAGCAACTTTAGGCAACTTCCCGTAGGTGTGCGCAGGTTGGGGGGGCGGGGCGCCCCGTAGTGGAGGACTGCGGCAGCTGGAGTGTAAGAGTGAATGTGCTGGGGGGTGGGGGGAGGCGGTTGCAAGGAGGTGGAGCCGCTCCCGCCGTTGCCTGGGTCTGGAGGGGGAGATGTGTCAGGTGTGAAAAGGTCTGAATGTGTTTCCACAAGGGTCTATGCCTGTGTGTGTGAGTGTGAGGACAAGGTGAGGGTGTAAGAGTGTTTGTGAACGAGAGTGTGATTATGAGCCTTGAATGCGTCATGCTCTTCAGGAGTGTGCGAAGGCACATGGGAGCATGAGTGAGAGCTCATGGTTTGGGAAAGGCCATGTGTCAGCATGAACCTGCCCAGTAGAGTGATCGTGTGTGAGTGTGTGTGAGCTTGTGCGTGCAGGTGAAGATAGTCGGGAACCCAGGTGAGTGGGAGTGTGTAAACACAACATGTGTGAGCACATCAACTGTGCTTGGATTTGTGTACCTCAGTTTGCGATCTTGAGGTTACTTGGGTGTGGAGATCACTGAGATCCCCAACATCTGGAGAAAATTGAGCAGTATCCCACTCCTGGCTGGGGTCTGGCTCGGGTTGAAGGGTGCCTGGGGGCTAAGTTGACCCTATTCCCTGGCCTGAGTGGGTATAGGGGGTTTCCAAGTCTCTGGCAACCTCTTGAGTGGGATTCCTGTCAGTTACTGGCCCTGGAGGCACAGGAGCCTCTGTTCCCATGGCAACAGCTGGGGGGCCCTCTTCATGGGCAGCCTTCCTTGGACTCTGTCCCCCCTTCCTCCCCCTTACTGAGCCTGGAAGCCTGGCCCCAGGCCCAGGGTTGGGCAACCAGGGTGACAGGGTGTCTCCATCCCCCATCCCAGCGCCTCCCTGTGACCTGACGGGTCTCTTCTTGCAGGTGACCAGCGCCATGTCCAGCCAGGTGGTGGGCATTGAGCCTCTCTACATCAAGGCAGAGCCAGCCAGCCCTGACAGCCCAAAGGGTTCCTCGGAGACTGAGACTGAGGCCCCTGTGACCCTGGCTCCTGGCCCAGCTCCCACCCGCTGCCTCCCTGGCCACAAAGAGGAGGAGGATGGGGAGGGGGCTGGGCCTGGTGAGCAGGGTGGTGGGAAGTTGGTGCTCAGCTCCCTGCCCAAACGCCTCTGCCTGGTCTGTGGGGACGTGGCCTCCGGCTACCACTATGGTGTGGCATCCTGTGAGGCCTGCAAAGCCTTCTTCAAGAGGACCATCCAGGGTGAGCCCCCACCCCACTCCTGTGCCCTTTGCCCTCTTTCTGGCACTACCCAGTTAGTGCCCTGCTGGGTGGCTGTAGACCCTCAGACTGCCGTGGTACCACTTGGGGTTGGCAGCCTGGAGTTCCCAGGCCCTCCTACCTCTCAGGAAAGCCCTCTCCCTTCAGAGTTAAATAAAGCCACCAGGATGCGTTGATGGATTGAATGTGGGATGTAAGAGTGGGACTCCGGAGGCCTCCTAGGTTTCTGGGTACCATGGGCCCAACACCTTCCACAGTGGCTCTAAAAAATTCAAAGTAGCCTCTGCCTGCTCCTAAACTTGTTCTTGCTTCCGGCAGCTGCTGACTTCTCACTAGCAGAAAACATAATATGCCCCTTTTTGTGTTGATTTCCCTGAAGCAGCGCCAGCACAAGGCAGGTTTTTACCGGTAACTGAGAGGGGCTTCATCATATTCCAGCACCTAACTTTAAAAAGACAGGCATCCCTGCTAATAGCGCTCATTGAATTTTTGAGCATATCAAAATATGAGTGAGCAATGGTGATATAGTAAGTATTATTGGGGATGTGCCTGTTACTTGTATTTTTATGGAAACTGTTGGTTATTTGGGGCTATAACGTGTAGACTTTTTGAGAACATTTCCTGAGTGCTTACCCTGTGCCAGGCCCTGTGCCCTGTTACGTTTATGCTCTCGGTTACCCCCAGAGCGATTTCCAAGGTGTCAGCACTATTATTACTGAGGCCCAGAGAGGTTTGTAAAACTTTGTTCAAGTCCCACAGGTAGAAAAATGGCACAAACGAGATTTGAGCTGGGGTTGATTTAGGTCCAGAGCTCAGCTCATGCAGGCAAGACTCACCGCTGCTTATTACTAATAACTGAACTTCGGACAGACGCCTCACCACTGATTGTGACATTCCAGCAAGTTTTGACTTGGCTGAGACCCGTTGGTCTAAAAGCTTTCTGCTCCCCTCTGGCCCTGAAGACCATTGAGCCAACAGGCCCACGTCCAGGTGTTTCTGACCCACCCCGGAACCCTGCATTCTTTGTTGCCTCAGTTGATAAATATTATTGAGCAGGAGCCATAAATAGTAATCATTTATTGAGCATTGAAGTGCTGGGAACCATGCTAAATGTTTTACCTTGATCATCCCATTTAGTTCTCACAACCCGCCTTAGTAAGAAGGAGGTGTTAATCATCCCAGTTTTACAGGTGGGAGTAAACTGAGGCCTCAAGGGCTTAGGTGTGAGACTTGCCCAAATTCACACAGTTGGTAAGTGGCAGTGTCAGGATGTGTCCTGGGCAGCCTGCAGGGTCCTTGCTCTTCACAAACCTGTGCTTTGCTATCCTGGCCACCATTCTAGGTATGGGGATATAGCTGGGACTAAGGCAGGATTGCTGCTGTCCTCAAGCAGTTTACATTCCCTCAGAGGGGAGAGAGAGAAAACAATGAACTGAACCCAGTTATTAATAGAACAACAGTGGTAAGTGCAGAAGGGTGAGGAGCAGGGGGAGTGCCAGGGAAGCTGCCTGGGTCTGGGGCTCCAGAGGGCCTCCCCAAGGAGGTGTCCTGAGCTAGGTGCAGAAGCCCAGGTAGGGTGTAGGAGAAAGCAGGCTGCAAGGAGAAATGCACTAAGGGCATTTTGGCTGGTTGTGTCATTCAGTCCCTGGGACGCCGCTGTGCATTCATTCACCCAGACCCCGTTCGTGGCACTGGGCACAGCCCTGGCCCCTGTGGAACTAACACTAAAGGTAACAAAGAAGATAAATATGTACTCCGTACATAGGTAGCATATTAGGTGATACTAAGAACAGATGAGAAGGCATGAAGCAGGGACAGGCGTCCCGAGGTGTCTGCAGAGGGTCATTCGGCATTCCCACACAGCTGCCAGGAAGGCCTCACAGAGCTTGAAGGAGGTGAGGGAGCAGTGCCCCTTGAGGCAGCGGCCTGTTTGAGGAACACCAAAGCAGCCAAAGGAGCCAGGCACAGTGGGAAGAGGGGATGAGGTCAGAAGGATGGTGAAGTGTAGGCCTCACAGGCCACAGGGTTCACCTGGGCTTTTACTCTGAGAAGGGAAATCATTGGAGTGTTTTGAGCAGGGGGTGGGCAGGATCTGCAGAGACAGAGCAGGAGGATAGGTGACAGTGACTCTGGTCAAGTGTGAAAGCAGTTGTCAGGGGCAGAAAGGGTCAGCTTCTGGATACATTCGGAGGTGAAGCCCACGAGGATCTGTCAATGGGTTGGATTTAGGGTGTGAGAAAGGAATCAAAGATATCTCCTCAAATTCTGCTTGAGCAACTGGACAGATGGGGTTGCAGGTCTTGGAGGGGTAGACCCAGGGCTCCACCTAGGACAGGTAAAGTTTGCAGCGTCTTGTAGATGTGCAGGAAGGATGCCAAGGAGGCAGTGGGATATGCGTCTAGAGCTCAGGTAGGTCTAGACTACAGATACAGATTTGAAAGTCCACAACTGGGTGAGATCACCATGAGAGTGAGTCAGTGAAGGTGAGGTCGAGGGGAGCCCTTGGGGGGGTCTTCAGTGGAAGGAGTGCAGGCAGCTGCACAGAAACCACAAAGTGGCAGTAAGGTGGGAGGGAAATCAGGAGTGTGGTAACCTAGAAGCAAAAGAAGAAAAGTGTTTCTAGGAGGGATCAATGACATTAGATTCCCCTTTAGGCCAAGTAAGATGAGGACAGGAATTGACCATTGGATGTAGCCCTTGGTAAGAGCAGATTCAGGGCAGTACAGCCCAGAGATGTGACTTGACAGGAAGTTTGGGGTAGGTGCAGCCTGACTCCCCTGGTCCCAGCGCTTCCCTTGCCCAGGCTGGGGGCCCCCAGCCCAGCAATCTTTCCCATCATTGCCCCGGGCTCCCCTGCCCCACTCACGGCACTCCTGCTCTCCCCAGACTTGTGCTTGCCCGGGGCGAGTCAGGGCTCTCCTGTCTGCTGGGCCCTGCTCCGGGCCCCGGGAGGCCGCCACTGGAGCCCTGCCTCTTCCTGGCAGGGAGCATCGAGTACAGCTGTCCGGCCTCCAACGAGTGCGAGATCACCAAGCGGAGACGCAAGGCCTGCCAGGCCTGTCGCTTCACCAAGTGCCTGCGGGTGGGCATGCTCAAGGAGGGTGAGCGCTGGTGGGGGCCTGGGCGAGGCTGGGGGTGCTGGACGCACGGGGGGCATACTGGTGGAATGGCCTGGGCTGGCGGGCTCTGCAAAAGAGGTCATCCTCAGCCCCACAGACACAGCCCTGTCCTTCAATTCAAGGGGTACGTCTGGACCGTGTCCGGGGTGGGCGACAGAAGTACAAGAGGCGGCCAGAGGTGGACCCACTGCCCTTCCCAGGCCCCTTCCCCACTGGTCCTCTGGCAGTGGCTGGAGGGCCTCGGAAGACAGGTGAGAGCGCTGTGGGTCCTTGGGGCTGGGGTGGGGCAAGGACATGGGAGGCCTGTCTGACGTCATTCACCCAGGATAGTAGTTAGCTTGGGCACTGGGACCCGAATCTTCCTTTCATGTGTTCAGTTACTCATTTCCCTCAAGAAGTATTTACAAAAATAATCCTTTTCTGCATCAGGCCTCAAGCAGCCCAGCTGAGAGCAGAGAAGGCTTTCTGATTCTTTCACAGATACTTGGCCTGAGAGCTAGTGTGGCCCTTCCTGTAGAGAGGTGTCTGAGTCTGGCTGGCCAGTGGCTGTTAAGGAAAGCCACGGGCGGACTGACTCTGGGAAGATGCTTGACCCTGAAGTACCAGCAAAGTGATGAATTCTAGTGCCTCTTCCACCTCTCACTGCAGCCCCAGTGAATGCACTGGTGTCCCACCTGCTGGTGGTTGAGCCCGAGAAGCTGTATGCCATGCCTGACCCAGCGGGCCCTGACGGACACCTCCCGGCCGTGGCTACCCTCTGTGACCTCTTTGACCGAGAGATCGTGGTCACCATCAGCTGGGCCAAGAGCATCCCAGGTAAAGGGCCCAAGTGATGTAGGGCTTCCCTAGGTAGGCCGGGACATGCGCGGCTCTGGTGCGCTTACTCAACCAGGTCTGCTCCCCACTGCCCTCCAGGCTTCTCGTCACTGTCGCTGTCTGACCAGATGTCAGTCCTGCAGAGTGTGTGGATGGAGGTACTGGTGTTGGGTGTGGCCCAGCGCTCACTGCCACTGCAGGATGAGCTTGCCTTTGCTGAGGACCTGGTCCTGGATGAAGAGGGGGCTCGAGCGGCTGGCCTGGGGGAACTGGGGGCTGCCCTGCTGCAACTGGTGCGGCGCCTGCAGGCCCTACGGCTGGAGCGTGAGGAGTATGTCCTGCTGAAGGCCCTGGCCCTCGCTAACTCAGGTTAGTCTGGGGCAGGTGCTGACAAGTCTCTCCCTAAGGCCCTCCGGTTTTTAGTTCTGATGGTGGCACAGCCTCATTTTGTAAACAAGGAAAACTGAACCTTAGGGAAGAACAGTGACTTACTGAAGGTCACAAAATAAGTCAAGGGCAGGCCGAGGAACTGCATATAGGATTTTGAGCCCTAGTGTGAGACTTCTGTGGAAAAGTGAGCCACTGAGTGGGAGGGAAGGTGGTAGGGACCAGGTGGCCATAGCCAAAGGAGAAAGGGTGGGCCCGGCTCATAGGCAGAAGCAGTGAGTGGCGCTTCAGCAAATCCTTGTCCTCCTCCTGCTTGGCCCCATCCAGCAGTTCCCAGGGAAGATGGGGGCTCTGCTTTTTCTGGAGGTGTCCCACATCTACAGCTGTTGCCTCTCTTTGCAGACTCTGTGCACATTGAAGATGCCGAGGCTGTGGAGCAGCTGCGAGAAGCTCTACACGAGGCCCTGCTGGAGTATGAAGCTGGCCGGGCGGGCCCCGGAGGGGGTGCTGAGCGGCGGCGGGCAGGCAGGCTGCTGCTCACATTACCA